AAAAGTATTCCTCATATGTTGGACCTTTTATCTCCTTCCCCCTGTTGTGACATGCCTTCTCAAGCCCCAGTACGAGGTGTGTTTGTGATGTTTGAGTTTCAGGCGGAAGGGTCGTTTGCAAAGTTACTTCATTTTTTGAAATTCCGTTATGTGCCACTAGTGTCGCAGAAACGACATACTTCACTTTTAAGCACTAAAGCGCCGGCTCTAATTGCACAGTGCGATCAAGTGTGAGCGGCTGCCACGTGAAAAAATGAAAACAAAAACAAAGCAGGAGAGAGAGATGCAACCCGAGTCCTAATAACAACTATATCACGAAGAGAAATCATACTGAGTCCTGTATCAACAAACCTGCCATTGCTAATACAGTACATGTGGCTTATGTACATTTCAGAAAACCCCTTGCCCACAAATATTAAATGTAAATATTGCATAACCATAGCACTAAAAACCTACCCATAGCTTACCTTGTATGGCTGATGTCTGTTCTAAAAAAGTCGGCTGTTTTGAATTTAAGATGCTGATAATATCGTCATAATTCTAATGATCTGTTAGTTCTCTTTCAAAAGACAAAAGTTGTTACGGCATCTTGTCACCTTTGTCTAGACATGTTTCTTTCTTAAATGTGTCATAGATAGCGGCTTAGCCATTTTTGTAATAACATAAAAAGGGCGTTCCTATTTGGAATCCGGATAGAATCATAATCCGGATAAGAACATAACATTAGTACTGGCGTGACGTAACTGATGAGACTAATTAGCATATTCGTATTAATATTAGGATAGAGTTCGAATGCATGACAAAACAAATAATGTTAGAAAATTGTATTAATAAAAAAATATATATATTTCCCTGGATCTGACAGGGTGGGCAAACTGTCAATCCCCGCCAGTTGATCCGCCCCAGGGCAGGGACTTGGTTCTATGCATCAATTGTTGTATTGATGTTGAGATGTGAGCAATGGGCATGGCACTCAAAAATGAAGGTAGATGAACATGTGCTGGGGGCTTTAACATAAAAATTCCATCTGTCTCTTTGGATTACAGAGTCATCCTTTTGGCAGTAGAAAGTGCTTATGACAAGGGAGAAAATTGGTTCTCCCAGGTCATTGTGACTTAGAAGAGCTTTTTTTAACATGAGTGACTCTGGACATGTCTGTTTTAAGACGGACCCGTCTAAACCCCCTACAGGCAGCCTGTTACCATAACCCAACAAAGAGGGAGCCAAAAGAGAGAAAAAGTGCAAAATGTGGAGAAACAGCATTCCAGAGGCTATTCCAATCATATGTCACCATATTCAATCTGTTCCTTTTAAGGCAAGGGCATTCCCCATATATTTTCCAAACACCACAGTGTTATCAGATTCCATTTCATGGCCAATTACTGGCCCGCCTCACTGTCCGTGCTGCTACTCTGACAGCACATCACTCGATTGTTCTGCGTTCAGCTCTTTCCTCAGGCTCTAACTCGTACTATTAAAGGTCAGAGCAATAAAACGAGGTCACAAGTAACAATCGGACAGATTCTGCAATAAGCTGCATGCACATTATAGCCTGAATCAGCCAAATATGCAGCTGCCATACAGTAGACATCGAAGCCTGGCCTGTGCGGTTGCGTTAGTAAACGGGGCCATAAAATTAATTTAATAGTTTGCAATAAGTACAGAGCTTGCATTCTTTGTAGGTCGGGATTTATGGTTGCGCTGCCAAAACGCAAACAGCAACAATCAAGATGCTTCATAAATGCATCGCTTTAGCTCAGCAAGCACTCAATGGTTCCCAGCAGAGAAATTTCCCAAAGCATCCACTCTAAACCCCCCACCGCCTCAGCTCCATCCCAAATCCCACAATAGACATGAATTAAACAATATAAGAATGTTCATGACCGGTGATTCCACGCCACAAATATTTTGAGAAGAGAGTGTGGAGACTCGGGCAGGCAGAGAAAACTCCAAATCCACTTTGTACAATACCACTGAGAATCTTAATGCGTTACAGCATCCCTGAACCTAATCTTGGGACAGTGGTGCCCTCCTTACTGTACTGTATGTAGACAGGATGCAAAAGGAGCCTAGGAATGGTCCTCTACTTACACAAAATCCCCCAAAAATATATATAAAAAAGCCCAAAAGAGTTCAATGCAATAATGGGGGTCCCATTATTTCATTATTATTATTATAATAGACTTTTGTCTAACTGTGGTGAACATTATATTTTAGTGAATTCCCCTGACACCATTCACATCACAGGTTTCACTATGACAACAACTTCTCCTTGGTCTTTAAAAATGGCTGACATTATTTTAGTGATCAAATTCAGCACTTTTATGGAAATATGGTAATATTTTGTAATTGTCTTTTAAATCTGGCTCATTTTCACATTGTTTGTCATAAATCAACATCTCAGGAAAATGATTTGGGGTTTCTAAACAAAATATGACTTTCTGTTACAAGACAGGGCATTGATTTCATACATATTCACTTAAATCACGTTTATCGGGCATTTTGGGAGACACAAGTGAATAGGGATTAGGGAAAGAAAGTATCAATTTTCCTATGAAATATTAGATATTATTATGAAAATGTTGAAAAATTATTACTCACATTATTACACTTCTTTTTTCATTACATGTTGCACAAGAACACATTAATATGCAAATTAGATGCGATAGATATATTGTATTGAATGGGAATGGCATTTATGGCTATGTTTACACGCATATTGCAGTAAAATTGTATTTTAATTAATTCCATTATATCTTTCATAACATAGTTGAGAATCATCTTTACTCAAAGTTTGGTTAAAAAAAAATCCTGAAACTTAAACGTATTGGTGAATTAAAAAAAAAATCCCATTGTTTTTAAACAACGGAGTCATGGTGTCCATCAATACATCATTTTTCTAAAATGTTTTTCCCATTTGTTTCTTCTGCTCTAAACAATGTAATGACATGGGGAAAAAATACTACATTCAAAAAAAAACTTTTTTTCTGGGTCTCAGGAGGTTCATTTTTAGTATGATTAAAGCATACTTAAACCCATTTCATCAGGTCAACAGAGTATCAAAATGCCATTTCCATTTCCCAGCCTTATTTAGATAGTTTAGCCAGATGTCAATCAACCAAGGCCTTTTTCTAAAGGGTTTGGCAAAAGGGTGGGGGGTGTGGGAGCCAAGGGGAAAAGAAATACCGAATGTAGGCTAAAGAGACTTAAATAAAAATTGTAGCATCCCCAACACTCAAATAACACATTCTATTATAACGCACATAAGTTACCAATGCACAAATATTTGTGCATTCGTATTCCAAACTGCACCACATCACTTAAAACTTCTAGAACTTTCTTAAAATACAAAATAATATATTATATCCAACAAACTATATAAATGCATGCAGTATAAGCCAAGTTTTTCAACAAAAGACTTCATTGAGACTGACGCTAAATGGTTAATGTTTTATCAAAAAAGCAGGAAGAGTTTGTGAAAAGCGCCTAAAGTTTGTAAACTCGCATCCAAACATCTGGCAGTGATGGTAAAACTCACCTGCGCTGTGAGTCGAAAGAAGTGTGCTTCCTTTAGATGTGCGAAGAAACCTGCTAAGAGAAAATGACTTGAGCTGCTCCTTCACTCCCAAATCTCCAGCGTTCAGTAACAGGACTCTCTCTGAGTTTCTGAAGCTCCTCCCTTTATTCACTCCTTTATTCAGACCTCCGCCTTCACGAGTCATGTAGTACAGTCGCAGTCCCAAACTCATCTCTGCTAACATAATAACCTTCATTATAAGAGTAAACGAACACTATTGCATTGTAGTATTCTTATCAAATCATTATTTCATGTCAATTCAAAATTATATAAATAGAGTTTTCTTACTCAAAGTAAACCTGCTTCATTATTTATTATGACTGCAGCTTTAATTGGAAAACAGCAATTTGACTGCAACCTTCGTGCCTTCGACCAAACAATAGTGGCGTCGCCCTGAACAGGTTTATTTTGGTTACTGTTCATTATCCCGCTTATTAAATGAATAGGGCTACTCACCAAATAAATACATACGTGGTCATCATGACATATTGATTTGAGTTGAAATTGTTTACCTGAATCTTATCTTAACGCTTCCGCGAAGAAAAATAGTCCATTTCAATTGTACAAAACAATCGGTTATAGCAACAAGAAGAACACTCCAAGAATATACATTGGAGTTATACATTTATTTGTCACTTTTGTATAACTTAAACTTTATATATATTCGGCTATATAGGCTATAGCCTACACACACACACACATGTTGATGATATTTATTATTGATACCCACAATAAATAAATCGAGAACTGCATTAGAGCCCTGAGGTGTGGATTTTGCTTTTTCAAGTCTCTGAGATATATTGTGTATTGTGTGATACACACTGTATTGTGTGAGAACCAGGCCAGAGTATTAGACCTGAGGTCGATGTCGGTGTGTGTGTGTGTGTGTGTGTGTGTCTAGGCAACATTAAAAAGAATGGCTGAAGATTGAATTCTTGATCTCTGGAAAATAAATCAAGTAAACACCATTGAAGGAAAACAAGGATTTATCTGTTCTACATGTGACTCTGGTGAAACAGAAGTGCTCAACCTTTAAGTGCGAGTAAAATATCTCCTAGTATTTTCCCACGAATTGGAAACCGAGAGCAGTCAAATGTCGATCGTTTTGCCTGTAATTTGGTTAAACAGGAGAAGTCGCCAGACTTTTTGGTCTTTTGATCTGAGGGCTTTGCCTGCACTATTTGCCTGAGGATCTCAGATGTTTACTTTTATAATGTGCTTTGGTTTATAACATCTGGGAATGGCCTTAGATAACCTCAGATTAAATAGTTCCTGAAAATATTAGCCGCTTGCCTTAACTTGCTCTGTGCTCTTAAGAGAGGGAATATCTCAAGATTGTCTCTCTCTATGGGAGTACATTAACTTCTTTTGCAGGCCATCTGAAGCTTTGAGAGTTTAACATCACAGAAAATTGTAAGTGAACCCCAGGGCGCCAATCTGTGGCCTTCTCCAATGGCCTTATGATGGGTGCCGAGGATTTAAACTGCAACCAAGCTAGCACTCACAGATTCAAATGGACTACAGTATAATTACAATTTCGTCTGTAATTAATGAACAGTACAAGGTGTCACCTGTTGATTTTAAGATACAAGAAGCATATGAAGCATCTCTGTTATCCACTTGAGTACATTCAGTGAACTGAAGACGTTACAGAACAATCTGATAATTCTCCTCGATCTCAACTTCTCTCATTGATCCTAAACCTTCCTGGCATTAATAAGTGCGGCAGGATACAATGAACCTTTGGAAGTCATTTTTAAGGGAGGAAGAACAACGTGTGTCTAACATTGCCAAAGAGACGGCATCTGTATCCAATCTAAACCAAATCCATCTGCTAATCATAAAAATGAGAAACCTGCATTAATAGGATAGTAAAAAAGATACTGCATACTTTAAGATTATGCACAAAGGTTTCAAAATAACTTTGATCCACTTGAAAAAGCATTTGGATGGCATTTTCTCTTTGGACAAATAGAAAACTTGCAGTACTTGCTACACAACATGTGTATTATGCACATACTTTTAAATACATAAATTAAGTAAAAATTTGAATGAATTTATAAGAGAGTATACCCTTTTAATTTTTTTTTTTCAAAACTTCGAAATTTTCCATGTCAGTTAATCTGAGGTCATTATATCTGCATGTATAATAACTATATAATTAAAGGTGCTCAATGTAACTTTTCTACTAAAATGAATCCTTTTTTTATTGCCTGTGTGTGAAGGGGTTGTAATCACACATTAAAATGATCCACTTGTCGAGTTTTGCTATTACCTCTGAAGGCCAGTATTCCTATTTCTATGTGAAGTCTCCGGGTCGGATTTACCGCGAAATCCAACGGATGTGACGTGCATGCGCGCTCCCGAGCCTCTCTCCTTATATACAGTCTATTGTAGACGGTCAGGGAGTTACGTCCGGTTAAAGGCACACGTTTTTCGGCTTATATCTCAGTCAATCTTTGATCAATATTCCCAAGACTCTAATCGTTCGTAGTGCTGGACGGGCCTTTCGAACGAGCCCACCCCCGAGGTCCAACTCGCCCGGCTCCCCGAGTTAAAGCCTTTCGAAATCGGGGGTCCCAGCGAACGGCGATCCGGTAGGGGGCATCCCCGAGGCCCGCCACTCTAGCGTTTGGGCAAGGGTTCCCCTGGGACCTCCTCCCCTGAATTTGAGCTCTCTGGGTCTTTGCGTTCCAGAGATACGAGCGATTTTCTTCTGAGATCGTGACGTCACCGGCGTCCGCAATTTTGCAGCGCGCCCGATGGTTTTCTGCTAATATCTCCGCGAAAACACCACCAAAAACTATGGAATTTATATGGTTCTTTTCAGCTCGACTAGATGGTCCCAACGAGCTCGGTGCTCGCCGAATCCGTCTAGTATTCGCCGAGATATTTGCGTAATAGACGGTATTGTCTATGAGTTCGAGCACGAGCGCTCTTGTAAAATTTGGTTGCAATCTGAAACATCACCACTAGAGGCCACTAAAGGTTACATAGAGCACCTTTAAGTTTTACTTTATAATAATGTCCCATTAGCTGCAGTCTGCAGTTTTTCCTCTTTGTCGCCATCTCTGTTTGAAATCTCCAATTGCAGTTATTAGCGGAATTATCAACTTTACGTGAGTTGAGCCTCGACACCCTCGACACGGCACAGCGCGGATGAATCCAATGTTTTGAGGAGAATGTGCAGCTGTCTGTCACCGCGCCGGTGTGGATACTGTCATTCAGAATCACAGATTCTACTTTTTGGAAGTATGACCAATACAAGAATTTTCACAGGAAAATGAACAAGTAAGTAACATCCACTTTTGTTTTGACCAACTATGGGGAAAAAAGCATTGCAGTAAATCGCGTTGATTAAATCTAAGGATCGCCTATGTCTTACCTGTCCAGCAGAACAAAAGCCGTCTCTGCGTCCGCTTTGAACCCCCTTAAAAGCCCTTCCGATATTTATCCTTGTTTTCGCACGGGCCCGGTTGCACGCTCTCTTTTTCTGTAGCCTTTTAAAGCAAAGTTTTTTGCATTTTACAAAGGGTGAATCTCCAGTTGTCACTGGCGATTGTCGTTTGAACCTTTCTGGATCCGCCATCAAATTGATAAGTTTAATTATATCAAGTGCTGTGAGAAAAGGCTATAAATCTCCACCTCCAGCATCTTCACACGCAATATAGCCTACTAGCCGAGACTCCTTCTTTATGTGTACAGATGTGACGTAATGACTCAAAGACATGCTCGAATCTCCCGCGGAAATCCACCAGTACCACTGAAGTTAAAAACATTATTACAAGTGTACCGTTTTGAATCGAGCTAAGGCAAGCAGATAGTTTTGAACACTGGCTGGTTATGTACTTGCTCAAAAATGTATTTTGGATAATTTTTAACCCAAAAAAGTTACGGACTGCAGCTTTAATATTATAAATGCATTAACTAACAATGAGCAATACATTTGCAACAGTATTTATTAATCTTTGTTAACATTAATTAATAAAATACATCTTTTAATTTTGATAATGTAGCTTATTAGTAAATGTTGAAATTAACATTAATCAAGATGAATAAATTCTTTTTTAATCGTTTGTTCATGTTAACTAATGTAGTGAACTAATGTTAAGGATAGGGAAGGCAACACTTTTGATATATAGTGGTTGAAACTCTCTTCACATCCTGATATTAATCAATAATAGAAGTGGTCTAAATATTAAAAAAATGTAGGCCTTATATCTTCTGTGGAAGTCTCAGGACCAAAAAATGTTTGTCCAATCATTGCATTCGGTCCGAATTCACGCCATGTCATAATTACCTTAATTAAGATATCCCAACCCGTGACGTTCTACATCCTGGAGCCATTCATGTCCTCAGACCCGGAATTATGCTTTTTAATGACAACACAGTCAATGCCGAAATGAATCTGCAGCAGTCAGGTGGTACAAGTCAGAGCTCTAAGTTGTTTATGTTTATTATTATTGTAACGTTATGTGCTTTGAGACATGAGGTAATTTAATGCTGTCTCGATCTCGTGGTGCTTTGCAAACTTTGCTGTACGTATTCATGTGTTTTAAAGGAGGTGTGGCTTTGAGACGCCCTGAAGGGAGGGTGGGATCTTATGCTTTCAAAGCTAACTTGCGTTTGTTAGTCACTCCGAAGTTGCCTACTCTACCTTTAAGAAATGGAACCTTGTTGTAAAGTGTTATGACTAATTAGTTAATAAATTAGTTTTAGGTAAAGTATAGCTACAGTTATATCATGTCAACTGTTCATATCCACATTTAGCCTACAAAAAACATTTATCCCAAAATCTATTGATTCACTGGTTTAGTTGAGCTGAATTGACAGGTTTATGTTCTTCTGGTGATTTAAACAGTCTGTTTTGACCTACAGCTTTTTGCTGTGCTGAAGTGGTTGTGCTGACTCAGGTCTTGATGACTGATGACATATCTGCCAGTTTGCCATCTGTCTGGTAATAGAGGATACAGTGCCTCCCAAATTTCTTCCCTTGACCTCCCTGTACTTCCTTTTCTAAACAATACTAAACCTGTCCACAGACAAAATGTCCTATTCCAGATGTAAACCAATTGTTCTCCTTTGTCTTTCACTGATATTCTAGTTGTGACGATCACATGGTTTATTTAAGGCTTCAGTTGAGGCCTGCTGTGAGGTTTGTGTGCCTTTGTCTCCCCCTGGTGTTGACAGAATGTCAGTTCAGTTTACTGTAATATAATTGCAGAGCGCCATCTGTAGGTCAACAGCTAAAACTGCTTCTAGCTTGGGTATTTAACATGCAGTACCTGTGCCATTGACATTAAAGCGTGTTTTAATCAAATGTTTGATCTTTTAATGAAGGACTCCAACTTCCTAATTCACTCAATAAGCTTTTATTGAAAATTAAACAATTTTCTGTTTGTAAACTACAAACAGGTCATAAAATAATCATGCTCTTCACCCGAGGGTAAACAGTAGCCTTATTGGTTTCAATCAACACTAAATACGAAGCAAATATTTACACAGTTGATATGATATGATATGAATATGAGGTTGTTCTATTATCGAATCCCTCTCTACGGGCTGTGCTCACACGTTTTAATCGCAGTAAATCACAATTTAATATCGCGTGCAAGCCACAGCTGGCTGACAAAATAAATGAATAATTTACCATAAAATAATGTTCAGGGTGATTAAAATTCAAACAAACAACATGAGCTTTGCATCAAGATGCCCCTTTATCCTTTGCGACCTCTTTTCGGCTACTGTCCGGCGTTGAAAAGCTTCTTTCTGCCCTCCATGCCTGACATGGCCTCCACGTTTTTCCTCCAGTCCGTGACCTCCTCCTTCTGATGGAGAGAAAATGCTTCAGTGAGACAGACAGACAGACAGACGGGGCGGTTGAAATGCCAACATTTCATCACCACTAGGCTTTTAAAGAAATGACTTGATTTCTAAAATAACCCGTCTCTTTAGACACAGCACATCTGAGCGAATGATGAAGTATAACACTGAGCTGGAGTGTTACCTTTTCTTCTTCCTTTTTAACTGTTTTGAGGTTTGCTTTGAAGTCAGATTTCGTGGCTCTGGAGTCTGTCAGCGCTCCCAGCATGGCGTCTGCCGACTTCTTCACCCTTTTTAGGTTCGGCCGCTTCATTTTTCCCTTCAGTTCATAGATCTTCTGGGTTAATGAGAGAATCTGGTAACAAACAAATACATCAGGGTTTTCCCTTGTGTTCGGTTCGATTTCTGTGCACTCCCCTTATGGACCGGGTCAAATTGACCCAAATTGGATTCAATACAATTCCTCAAAAATCACACTATGAAAAACAACAAAGATTTAGATACAAACTGTAAACTTTTAATATCAACATTTGTCAAACATTACAAAAACATTATATCTGAAAATATGATTTATGAAAATGTTTTTAAAACATTTTTTAAAACAGTTTTGTTTTGACAAAATTGGAAAATTAACAGTATACTGATTTGTTTTGGATATATACTGTATATATATATATTTTTTTTTTACATTTTATGCTTTGAACATCGTAACTGAACAAAAAAAATTTGCTGTATGATGAAAATTTTTCATTTTCCTAAGTTAACTTATAGTTTCCTAAGACCTATTTCCTAGTTTCATTATTCACTCACTGGGAAGTGAGAAACCAAACATAACAAAAACATACATCAAATAAATGTTTTTTATTTATTTTTTGGCTCTGTGAAGCTGCCTTTGAAAATCCTACATAAAAGTTTTGGTTAAAAGCTAGGTATTTTAGATATTTTGAATATTGAAATGAGAGCTTATTTTACTATCTGTGTCTGACAAAGATTTTCATCAGTAATTTGCAAATAATTCTGAACACTGTAATTTTAGCTTTTTCAAGTGTGTTTGGTTAGGGTTCGAGCACTTTTAGATGCACTTGCACGTTAGAACTGGAGTTGAAGTGCCCTGACACAGAAAATAAATGTTTTTATTTTGTGTCTGTACAGTTGCTTTTGAATGGCTGTCTATGAGGGTCAAATTGACCCGCGAACATCACAAACGTAACAGTAATTTTGTTTGTATATGTCAAAACACATCAGCATGTTGAAACTTTGCATGCATGTTCATCATGATAAATGAGAAAAAGTCACAAAATATCAAGAAAAAAAACAAAGGTTAACCAGTATTTCCAACAACATGAAAATCGAAACGGGTCAAATTGACTCGCAACATAACACAAGGGTTAATAAATCTGTAAAGCATAGCTGTCAACATTTGGTTTTCAGTTGCGACTGGGCAACTGGGGTATAGGTTGCCAGGTTGAGATGACAAACGGGTTGAAATTGTATATGATGTGTGGATTGTGTGTAGGGGTGTAACGGTTCAGCACATTTTCGATACATCAAAAAGAAAGAAATGCCAGAGAAATTTCCTATATTAAAAGAAAAAATATTTTTTCCTACATCTTGAAACATTCAGGTTTATAAATGGGGGTAATCTTTGAAGGATGGACAAATAATGTTTTGGTCATCACATAAAAAATAACATTTAAATATAGGCCTATATTTATATATATAATATTTAGATAATATTTGAGTTTTGAAGTGCTGGGAAAAGATGTGTGAAGTACTTGAAAGCATTTCACTATTCCAGCCAAACTTCCATGGTTACAGTTATAGTGTTACTATATTGAATCCATGGTGAATGTTGCTGATCTGTGGACTTAAAGCCTATAACTAGATCATTCACGGTCCAATGTTTCTCCTGGTTTCCACATCAGCGCTGTTTGATCTAATAGAGATCTACGGTTAATAACGGAGAAATGTGAATGCTTCTCACTAGATCTCGCAGCGATGTTATTACTTCAGAGGCGAATTCAAATGTTTTCTTCACTGGATCTCTTAAAGGGGTCATATAATGGTACATGCACTTTTACAAGTTGATTGTACTGAAATGTGTGTTGGCAGTGCCTGTACACAAACATCATATAATGATAAAAATCCATCCAGTGGTTTTGTTTTAATCTCCTTATATGTTTTCCCCTGCCTCAAATCGAGCCGTTCGTTTTTGTGACGTCAATAAAACGGACGCCCCTCTCACGATTGTTGATTGACGGGAGCGTTTCAACACAGACCCGCCCTCGCACATGAGGTAGCTGTCAATCATAGTCTGCGCGGCGCGGTCATTGTTGATATGCTGGAGCACTGTCTATGAGTAGAATGGCGTCTAAGCGATTGTGGTGTTCTGTTCTTGGGTGCAATAGCGAACACAGTCATTTTAATGTTCCTGAATCCGAACCGCTGAAGACGCAGTGGCTGAGTTTGTTTTCGAAGGGAATATTCCCCACGAGCAACGTCAATGCTTTCATGTTTGCGCGAATCATTTCACACACCAGACTGCTTTATAAACGAGGGTCAGTATAAAGCTGGATTTGCTAAGAAGCTTTGCTAAAAAGGATCGGTACCAGATATTCGTGTTCCTGCTGAACCTCCAGAAGAACGGAAGTGAGTGAAACGTTTTATTAAACTTTATATTACTATATTAATCTTTGCAAATCGCTAGCTGCACGCTTCACAATGAATGCGTCTAAGGTTTACACTCAGTCAGGGTACATTACGGCATGTTTTCTATGTATGACGTTCTCAATATAATTCATAATTCCACGTTTATACTGAACAACGCGTTATGGTTATTGTGTTATTGTGTTACAAACGGTGTATGCACAGAACAGAGGGGCGGAGTGAGCGCAGCTCATGATCATTTAAAGTTATATGCACTGAAACGGCGTGCTGAAAACAGAGCTGTTTTTGACCAGGTAAAATAAGTGTTTTCTTACAATACTAATGAGAATTTTTAATTAAAGTATATTACAAACTTTTAATTTAGACCCTAAAGAATCATATTAGCTTGTACAAAAATGGCATTATATGACCCCTTTAACGCTGTGTAGTGACAGTGTCGCTTGATCAAGATCGGCTCGCGCTGCACAGATGCTGCTGGTCCGAACTGATAAACGGTCCGTGAAGCACAATAATAATGAGTAGCGCAGTTTCGTTCCGCTTTCATTACGTTTGCCATTCGATGTTGCGCAACGTTGTGGTGGTTTCGCCGTCGCGCCAGCGCGGATTTTGTCGGCAGGAAAAATGGTCCAAGGAATTGTTTGGTTAATGCGTACCGAACCGGAAGCCTCCTACCGAAACGGTTCAATACGATTACATGTACCGTTACACCCCTAATTGTGTGAATATAATGCATTTAACACAAGATCTGGCAACTGGTCAACATTAGACAAACATATTGGTCCGATTATTCATAAAGGAGTTTGGGCCATGCAAATTACGGGAGTTTCCCGGGAGAAATAACAAATCGGGAGGGGTCCGGGAGATAGGGCTAAAAACCGGGAGAAACCCGGGAAAAACGGGAGTGTTGACAGGTATGCTGTAAAGTGGTTGTATCAGCGAAATATAACTTAAATATTTCACAACATATTTTAGTTTTTCTAATACACCGGGGGTCCAAAGTCTCTTTGCAGTCAATAATTGTATCTCTTGATAATCAAAACGACATAGTTAAACGTTTTTTCCTGTGAAAAAATAAATTCCTCATGCTTTAATATAGCTTGAATGTAACTTTACACCCTTGCTTCATTTAGTATACAATGAATATGCAAATTAGTCCCCGTCTCCACTCACTCACACCAGCTCGGACTACCTGATGATCCACTCGGTCAACTGTAGTAAATGTTACATAATGGATCATGTGACACTGAAGACTGGAGTAAACATGCTGAAAATTTAGCTTTGGGTCACTGGAATAAATTACATTTAAAAATATATTTAAACTGTTTTTTTTTAATCATACAATATTACTGTAATAATCACAATATTACTGTTTTTACTGTATTTTTGATCATATTAATACAGCCATAAATCATACCGATCCCATACATATGCACATTCTCCATTCACATACCTCTGCATCATTTCTGGCAACTTTTATATTAAGGTCATATCGCACTTCATCCACAACGTCAATCTTGTGGTGCAAATCTCTACAAAGCTCCTGCAAAGACAGATGATGGTACATAAACTCAAATGGCTAATGTAAACACCATGAACACCATGCTTATGATATGTTGAGAGATATTCGGGATACAGTAATCGGGCCGCAGTAAAAGCTCTCAATGTAAATATCTGACATAGTAAAGTTTTGCACCTGCAGTTCTTGGATAGACAGGCCGGAGAGGTTGAGGGGCGGCGCTCTCTCCCTCAGGGTGTTTTCTCTCTCCAAATCTTTCTGCTCTTTTTCTTTCACCAGCAAACTTTCTGCCTTTCTCAGCAGTTTGCTCTGAGGGTCAAGCGAGGAAAAGGTGTGAGTACAAAATACATAATTCTTAATTTGTGTCCACTTATAGTGCTGTTCATTTGCACATGCTCTCAGTGTTATTTTAGCACCTAGTGCACTAATGCAAATCAGGTGATGGCACAAAAACACACATAAAAACAGTGCAGAATTTAAGGCACAACTGCCCAGCTGAGTATAGTAGATAGTGCAGGACGTACGCACGCGCACACACACACACACACACACGCACACGCACACGCACACGCACGCACGCACGCACGCACGCACGCAGTACTTAAAAATGCCAAAATCCGGGTTATAGTACAGCATTTATAATACAATTTAATTGGGCTAATCCATAAACATTTAAATACTGTTTCAACAGTATGTGAATAATGTGTGTGTTAACATGATTTTAACATAAGATAAGATCTTCATTTATATAACAATGAAATATTATAAACTGACTGCATTATAATTATAATAATTATAATGATTATTATTATATGTATAATTATGATTTAAAGAGCTTTATAGAAGAATGAATGTGCTTTTATAAAAGCCTTACATTGTTTTTTAAATTTTCAAAAAAACTGTCCCCATTCCCTTCCATATATACAGTTATACACTCACCTAAAGGATTATTAGGAACACCTGTTCAATTTCTCATTAATGCAATTATCTAATGAACTAATCACATGGCAGTTGCTTCAATGCATTTAGGGGTGTGGTCCTGGTCAAGACAATCTCCTGAACTCCAAACTGAATGTCAGAATGGGAAAGAAAGGTGATTTAAGCAATTTTGAGCGTGGCATGGTTGTTGGTGCCAGACGGGCCAGTCTGAGTATTTCACAATCTGCTCAGTTACTGGGATTTTCACGCACAACCATTTCTAGGGTTTACAAAGAATGGTGTGAAAAGGGAAAAACATCCAGTATGCGGCAGTCCTGTGGGCGAAAATGCCTTGTTGATCCTAGAGGTCAGAGGAGAATGGGCCGACTGATTCAAGCTGATAGAAGAGCAACTTTGACTGAAATAACCACTCGTTACAACCGAGGTATGCAGCAAAGCATTTGTGAAGCCACAACACGCACAACCTTGAGGCGGATGGCCTACAACAGCAGAAGACCCCACCGGGTACCACTCATCTCCACTACAAATAGGAAAAAGAGGCTACAATTTGCAAGAGCTCACCAAAATTGGACAGTTGAAGACTGGAAAAATGTTGCCTGGTCTGATGAGTCTCGATTTCTGTTGAGACATTCAGATGGTAGAGTCAGAATTTGGCGTGAACAGAATGAGAACATGGATCCATCATGCCTTGTTACCACTGTGCAGGCTGGTGGTGGTGGTGTAATGGTGTGGGGGATGTTTTTCTTGGCACACTTTAGGCCCCTTAGTGCCAATTGGGCATCGTTTAAATGCCACGGCCTACCTGAGCATTGTTTCTGACCATGTCCACCCCTTTATGGCCACCATTTACCCATCCTCTGATGGCTACTTCCAGCAGGATAATGCACCATGTCACAAAGCTCGAATCATTTCAAATTGGTTTCTTGAACATGACAATGAGTTCACTGTACTAAAATGGCCCCCACAGTCACCAGATCTCAACCCAATAGAGCATCTTTGGGATGTGGTGGAACGGGAGCTTTGTGCCCTGGATGTGCATCCCACAAATCTCCATCAACTGCAAGATGCTATCCTATCAATATGGGCCAACATTTCTAAAGAATGCTTTCAGCACCTTGTTGAATCAATGCCATGTAGAATTAAGGCAGTTCTGAAGGCGAAAGGGGGTCAAACACAGTATTAGTATGGTGTTCCTAATAATCCTGTAGGTGAGTGTATACACTACACACATATAATAAAATAAAACACACACACACACACACACAAACATATATACTGTATACATACCGTACATATACACACACACACACACACACACACACACACACACACACACACACACACACACACACACACACACACACACACACACACACACACACACACACACACACACACACACACACACACACACACACACATAATAAAATAAATAAACTATACACATAATTAATTACACAAATATAATTGTGTATGAAATATCATAATCCCAAAAATGACTGTAAAAATAATGATTTAAACAGATTTACTGAAGAATTATTGTGTATTTACAAAATTGTAAGCTTTACATTGCTGCTTTTACACACATACACATACAGTATAAAAATCATTATGTCTATGGAATGTCCCCATAAAACATGGAAACCCAACGTCTCTCTCTGTGTGTGTGTGTGTATGTGTCATCATACTTGAAATGTTCAGCTTTGTTTCTGACCCACCTTTAGCAGAAGTCTGCGTGTTGCAGAGTATTTGGATTTGGCCTTTTTCTGCAAGAACAAGAAGAGTTAAGCCGAGCTCTTTATAGTCTGCGGTCCTGTTAAGACAATCCTGTGAGTGGGTCTAATCTACACACACTGTGGTGCATGAATTAACTGTCTGACCTGATTACTGTCTGAACTGCCAAACTGAGGGCTCAGTGGTACCGTATAGTTTGAAGCAGACCAGAGCAAACCTACAGTGCAGATTAGTTTTTAACATGCTGTTCAGTGTCCTTACAGAATCACTGAGCGACTAAACCATTTAGAGCTGGATTAGGATCATTGATTCCAACATTCACTGGACTTTAATATATAGAGACACCACCCCGTGCACAGCTACTTTCAACTGTTAATCATCATTGAAACTATTAAAAGAGAAACAATCGGGAACAAAACGAGACTTAAAACCAGGGGTGTAACAATATATCGTGCCACAATATATCGCAATACAAAAATGCAACAATACGTATCGTGGATAGTGACAATATGTATCATGGAATGTATCATGTATCAAATTCACGTTTTCAGAGTTTTAGTGTCAGTACTACATTAAACTACAATATATAATGTTGAATAATAATACCAAATATCTTATGTTACCTGACCAGTAAAAAGTGTCCAACATTATTTGAAATATATCTAGTCAGTGAAAAAATTCGTCTAAAATAATTCTGTATTTTCAGCTTCAGAATTATGAATATTTTTATTCTGGTCTCACCATTGTCCTTGGGTTAAAAGCACAGAGTCCAAGCCTATTCATTTAAACCCACAATGTAATATCAAAGTTAGCATTTTAATCAACAGTACATTTTTTGTTAACCTTTTAACATATGTCTTGCAGTATCGCAACAATATCGTATCGTGAGTTCAGTATCGTGATATGTATCGAATCGTGACATGAGGGTATCGTTACACCCCTACTTAAAACCCCCATAACAAATCTGGTGGTAATTCACTTACCGGTCTGTGAAGATATCATTGCATGTAAAAAAACAAAAAAACAAAAACACAATTATTATATAGCGTTATAAATTTTTTTTATTAAAGAGCAACTAGATTTGTATATTTTACAGAAAAATGTTTTGGCTGCTTGCAAAGAAAATATGAACTTACAGTCCATTACCTGGTGTAAATAAGCAGTTTTGGATGAGTATGACATTGACAGGGTCAATAGCCTAATAAAAATAACACTTACCCCTCAGACATGTCTGAAATACACTATGTGACCTGAAAGAGAGCCAAAATAATTGTGGTCACTATCCAGCACTTCACCATTCATATCTAAACACGTCAGGCATCACTAGTCAAATGCCAAACAACTGTCACGGATTATGAGTGACGCCAGAGTCAAGGGTTGCTCCTAAAAAAAGCATGTTTAAATGCATTAAATCAAGCCCGCTGTCCTTTGACATCAAAAGCTACAGATCCACCAAAGCAATTCCAATATGCAGACAGTTACCGGACATTGGGTTTCGGCTTAACACCGGTCATCACTGTGACACAAACACGGAAGAACAGTGACCTTTACTCCACCAATATAACAAACCATCTCTCTGTGCACATCAGCGATTTTCTCAGCATCTTCAAAGATACATTCATTACAGCTTGTGGTTCAAAGAGATCGGGGTCCTGACATTTTGGCCCCTTGGAGAAAACAGTGACCTTGACCGTCTCATTGTACGCAGCGCAGCGGGCAGGATGGCTCTGAGCAGGGGTTAATGGGGTTCCTCTGGGAAAATGGTGTTGAGGGATGAAATTTAGAGGCGGGATGCGTGTGGATAGGAAGCGCAGACAAAACACTCTTGAGTGTGAATTCAACGCTGTGACGGGAGATATTGATGACACAGTGTCTGAAAACTGTCATTTAGTGAAAATAAATCTGATGCAACTTCACACACTCACAAGAGGGATCCAGCAACAGTTTAGTGTGTATTAAAGAGAAAACTGATATAACCTGAGGGGAATAATGTCACATATTGGTTGTAAATGACAAACGCTCAACAGCCTGTTGGCATCTACTCTGTTTTGGCTTTGGTCCTGCTAATGTTAATGTCCTTGACATAACTGCCATGACTTTGGTAAGAGGCAATCGAGTCAATGACCTTCATGTTTGACATTCTTGAGGAATGCTGCCATCCGAACCCTGGTGCGCACCAAACAAGCTCAGTCCGCTTTCAAATGAACTCTGGTGCTGTTCGACTGAAATATGAACGAAACACGGACCAAAGACATGTAAACGAACCAAAACAGGACATGATGTCTCAAGATTCAACCCTAAAAAGGACAGAATGCTCAAGCCAGTGGCGTAGGTTTGATTTTGAAATTGGTGGGGACGGGGACATCAATTTATAAATATATTTTAAGTTTTGATCGAAATTATTGCTAGGGATATATAATTGTCACTGGATATTGGTAGGGACACGTCCCTAGCGTCCCTACTAAATTCTACGCCCCTGGCTCAAGCACATCTGTTTTTTCCTCATAGTCGCGACTTTGCCCATTACAGTTCAGTACAAGCGTCAGAACCGCATCTCCTCGCAGTAGATCTTTGTTTGTGTGTGTGACGGAGGGATTTCTGCCCCTGTTTTGACTCCTTTACACATTTTAGAAGCTCTTCACGAGTTCTCAGCTACCATCATATGTACGCACATACAGCGAGCGCATTTAGCATTGTTTTGGATGTTTGACAAGTTGTGTCACAAATTACAACATACAGGAAAATCACTTTTGTTGTTGTTTTGTATCATTAGGTTCAGTGTTAAAAATGACAGTGTGAAAGCTAAGCAAACCAGGACTAAATGTATCATGTGTGAACACCCCCTAAAACTACATTTTGCATGTCAAAACTAAACTAAAAATCAGTCAAAATATGTTCCTATGAATTTTTATAAAGACCCCATTTAAAATTAGTTTATGATGGTCTAAAGTTTGATGTTGTAAAACAACATGGGATGATACACAGGCCTGTATCCAATATACTGACAACATCAACTGTAACTATCAAACGATATACAGTTACAACCAACTAAGTCTATCCAGAATGTCATTTCAGTCATGTTCCAGACACCCTGTCATTCACCTCACAATATCCCACACTACTAGACTGCATGCCCTAGTGTCATTAATCATGCTGAAAAACATGCAAAAATAAAAAAAAACTCAAGCAAAGAAAGTGAACCCTTCCATTTGCTCAAATCAAAAGACTCTTCAACCACTCTTTGCTCTCTAACTTAAAAGACCTCTGAAGTGGACCTTTGATTTCTATGGCAGACTGTTAGACATGATAAAAAAGCATTGAAACAAGGCTCTTACCTTTGAAGAGGAGTCTAGGAGCGTGAACAGAGGAGCGATGTACGAGGGAGACGGCGTAGTGTGGTTTTCAATGATTGATTCATGCCTCACCTCTCACATGTGAATGGCCAACCAAAATAACTCACCACAGCGCCTCCCATGAATGCCACCTTTTGGCACACCATTGTTCTGGAATTGCACAAACACACAATTAACACTCATTATCCCTGAGTCACATGCATGTGGTTGATCCAGCACAGAAAATGTTATAGGTTTTTATAAAAGACAAGTTCCCATTTATTGTAATTCATATATTCAGGTGATTAAGATTCCCACGGCCACTGTAAAGACAACAAAGACTCTGGGTGTCCTATGGTCAGGTGCTGCAGATATAAATGCACATAATTGTTAAATTGAGCATTTTATGGTGCCGTCTGACGCTATAATTCTCCAATGCTCGGAGGCCTGAATTTCCAATGAGAGTCCTATTCAGTCGAGCGTGGCATTAATTACAGGTGAATATCACCTCGAGACTGCCGGGAAGAACATGAAAATGGATCATAGCATTTAAGTCATAAAAACAGGGAGAAAGAGGCATGCCGAGAACATTTATCTCCTGTAGCAAGTTTGAGGCAGGTTGAGAGGGCAACTTTTGGTCTAAAAGCCTGAGATCGATAAATGCATGACCCCATAATGCATTCAAAAAGGTTTTTATGGTTCAGCGACGGCCTATGTGCCGAGTCGGTTTCGCTTTTGCGTATATTAAGAGCCTCCGAATCCGGGACGTGGGAGACAAAGCTCGGACGGTGGAAGGACACACACCTTTAGTGGAATCTGGAGTATGAAAGCGGCAGCTGTCGACAGGCACTGAAAGATGGAGTGAACACAACCGTCCCATGACGCATCGCTCATGCGCTCTTGTCTGCGGTGTATTGAATACATGTGCACCGCAGCACGCGCCTCTGATCACGTTTATTTTTAGGAGGGCTGGTTTTCACTCATTGCTATCACACTCTTCAATGTCATCTCTGATAACACGACCCTGGCCTTTAAACTCTCGAGGATAACGCGGGTTAAAGACCTAAGCTTGTAACTGCAAAGATTGTGGTTTTAAGCAATGCAAGAACTGTGTTAACAAATTAGATCAAGATGTTAGAACAGTTTAAACATTAGTTTGAAAGTTATAGGCCTAATTGTAGACTTTGCTATGCGTTTGCTACAGAATTGCTAGGCTTGGACTAATTTAATACCAAAAAGTAAGACTGATTAACCCTATAACTCTTGGTAATACTAGTTCTTAAGACAGCCACTTAAAATAATGGCCATGTTTATGCAACTTAATACAAAATTTTAAAAGAGCTAAAATTTGCAACAAATGTGACCACTGTTGACATACAGTCAGAATATAGAGTTGTAAATGAATTCTAGACAGCATACCTCAGATCTTTGGAAATTATGGAGTTCATATTAAAGTCTTTGGCATTCGATTCCAGACTTTCTCTTGGCAAATGAGTACAGTCTGAAACATTGCTGAGATCTCTTAAATAACAGAAAAATCAGAGGACGAAAAAGGTCTCCATTTTCTCTCCATCTCATTGCTGTCAAGGAGATCTAATTTGAGATGTTTTTTTCCTATGGGAATATTCACAAAGCTGAGATCTGTTTAATTTATCAGCTGTTATATGCATTTTCGTGGAAGACAGCAAAAGCCACCGAGTTTCTATATTCATTTACGATCCGAGAAAACCTCAGCAGTGAACGAATCTGCAGCAGAAATGATATTGTGCTCTAGGAAATGTTATTACGGAGAATTAAAGTGATTTCTTACTCTTGGTTTGTGTAATAATGTCAATACAGGCCCACTGTGGGATTGCCCCCCTCATTGTGATAATTTTGTGTGCAGCTTCTTAACCAACAGCATAATAGCCCATCCAAACTATCGTCAATGCATGAAATAATTCCCTTTTAAGTGACTCCAAAATAAGGGCCCCTTCGCTGCCAAGCAAATTTTCACAAATAATGTTCAGCTTGAATGTCCTGGAATTGTTATGGCCCTTTTTTACCCCCACAAACACATTATCAGACATGAACCTAAAATAATCAGCTGCTCATTCTGGCTACTGCTAATTTGCCTGCTTAATGATGTAAATTAACACCCACGAAACACACACACACATACACACAGACTCTAGGTTCTGAGGCATGTGGTTCCTGTTTTAATTACATTGGATTTGCATAACGATTTCCCATTAAGCGATTCCCCAGTGACCCTACGCAGATAGGGGAAATTGCTCTCAAATGCCCACCCCATTAACAAGAGTCTGACGTCACTCCCTGTCCATCACTGCCGGCGACGCGGAAACCACTTGCTGAAAACAGGCCTACAGAGAGTGACGGAGTGGCTCATGGGTAATGAAGTCGCTAATCACTTGCAAGTGAGCTGGTTTAGACGCGGACGGGCGGGAGTGTTTTCATGCTCGTTGGTACTAGAAGATGTTAGTGGTCTCCCAGCATACAGGGGGTCTTGATAAATCCACTTCTAATGCGTGTGTGCCATTACAAATCACTGCAAAATCCTGAGCAGACTGTGAATCGTAGCGAAACAGTTTATTAGCAGCACAGTACCAGTACATTTGTTTATTTGAATGCATTAATGAGAGAGAGATTGCGTGTGTGAATCAGTCCCATCTGTTTGTGCAGATCTCTTTATTAATATAGAAGCTGTGGGTTGCAATTACTTCAAAGGCAGAAAGAAATATATGCTAAATAAGTTATTGTTTTCGTTTATTTGTAGGAAGTTTTTGTGACCCATGCTATTTTGTAATCTAATAAATAAGCTTATTATTACAGCAAAATTATACATAAGTTAAAGATCACAATTAGCAAAGTACAAGCAATAGCACAAATAAATCAGGCTCCAGGTTTGTAGG